TATATATATATATACATGAGTCTTATCGCTCTATAAATTGGCAGATATATTGTTTGTTATTTGTGCAAACCGTATATTTATGCATAATTACTATAGCAATATAAAAGAAAAATATATGTCTATATCTTTTTTTCTTACAGTTCTTACGTCATCAGCACCTTATAAAATATGAATATGATGTAATATATATTCTGATTATTAGTTTTGATTATTGCCAATATAATGTTTCAAAATATATTTGTTTGAAATTCATATACATCGCAATATACTAAAAACGATTAAGTATATTGATTATTCATTGTTAGCTATTCGCGCGCTATTATTCAAAAGCAAAGATAAGTTCAAAAATCATCTATTACTGAGAACTGATTATGTAATCCAATGTCGAATCAACTTATTATCTGAATAATTCATTAAATTTTTAATCTGTTTTTTTATAACTATGCAAATTTGCACTGGCTTGTTGTTCTCGGCCTAACTTTCTTCCATTAACTACGAGTACAATTGGAGTTTCAACGCGAATAGATTTGTAGTCAAATTCCTAAAAATAAAGAAAAAATATATTAATGTAAATTCGATAAAATCGATTTGTGTGAGTGTAAAAACATGCTTATAATACTAACATTATTCATATAGGAGAATTTTTGATATATGACAAAAGGCTCTGGTATACCAACAGAATCCCCGATCGTAACTCCTCGACCTTTAGCTAGATTGTATACAGTAACAACAATACATGTCTTTTGCTCATCCACAAGACAAAAAGCACTGAATAAAAAAAAATTAAGTAATTATTTGCTTTAATAAGTAAATATTAAACAAAGAATTGATTTTTCTACTTTATATGCACAATAATATGAATAAATACTTACAATGGAACACAATCCGAGTCTTGTATCCAACAAATCACTTTTCCAAATACAACTTTCTCAGTATTCAGTCCAAGAGCTAATTCTTTTAATGGAATTAAATCTAACTTTAAAGATTTTTCTCCAGATATGTATGAGCCACCTTTGTATGGTCCTAAGTGTTTAATATCCAATGCCTATATTTAATCATAAACCTATAAATATGTTTGTTATGCCAAAATCATATTACAATTATTAATATTTTAAATTCTACTAATTATTACTAATTTTTATATTTAATTTTTATATATACCTGTATCAATTGGTATAATCTTTTTGGTTTTACATGTCCATTGTGATTAATTGAATTTTGAATATCTTTAAGATATTTTAATAATTCATCTCGTTTGTTGTGTGGTGTTTCCCATAGGGGATCGAGTGCCATCGCATTTTCAAATGATTGTAATGCTAATTTATATTCTTCTTGATATTTTAAAGCCTAAAACAAATTTCAAATAGTTTCAAACATCTAATTAAAAAATAATAAGTATTAAAATAAAGATTACAAAATTTAATTTCGACACTTACTACTGCCTTATTATAAAACAAATCCGGATTACTTCTTGCAATGATATCTTTCTCCTAAAAAAAAAATAGTACAATTTCAATTTTTAAAGAACAAAGTATATGTATTATATACAACATGTAATTAAAGGAGAAAGAATAAATAAATATTCATAACTAATTTACCGCTTGTATATATGCTGACATGCATAGACGTAATGTATTTGGGCTTTGTGCAACTGTAAAGAAAGAAGACAAGTAAGAATTTCCTAATATGGCCCAAGAGATTCCATCGCTTGTATCGAGGCTTACAGCTTCTTTAGCATACTCAACTCCCTGTTGAATATTTTTTGTCCGTTGCTCAATAGATGAAGTTTGTTCTTGTCTAAGCACCATTGACAAATTTCGCAAAGATACTTTGTTCCTATCCTGGAAAAGATAAAATATATATATATATACAATAAATTCTTAAACAGAAAATTTGTGGAGACTGAGGAAAAAGAAAATATACATGTTGCAGAGCACCAGCAAAACAATTTTTTGCTTGTTTTATATCATCATTCTTCCAATAACATTCCCCTAATTCATTCCACGCTTCTATTAATTTAGGTTCTAATTTCACAGCTTTACTTAAAAGTTCCTCTGCCTGTGGAATAAAACGATCCACTACATTCAAAGCTCTTCCTTTTAAATAATAATATTTTGCACGTGAGCCATCAATCTCGTATCCTTTACATTCATCAAACTTGCTCAGTGTGTCTTTCATCTCCTTTTCGACATCAGTATTTTTCTTTATTGCTTCATCGATAGAATGTGTTTCAAAGTAGCGATCTCGAAAGAGATACAAGGCTTTCACTTTTTCCTGAAATTAAAGTTATAACTAGTAGATATATATAACAACAGTAACATGTTGCTTTAAATTAAATAAATTATACAAAAAGAATATTTAACATACTGTTAATGCTACAATCGGATCTTCCTTGATCGTATTTGAATTCTTCGCACCTGCAACAACTTTGTCATCTATAATTGCAGACATTTTTCTCAAGTTATACTATGTGATGTGCAATAAATAAACATTATTCTTTTATGCGTCACATGTCTTTCAGGTAACGGAAGGCTTTATTTATAATTTGTTGCAGTTTTATGAATTTTCTCATGGCATAAAATCATTCCCAAACTGTCAAAAACGATAAACGTGCGTAATAGTGCGTAAAGATTACGTATTTGACGTATTGTTATGAACGGAGAATACGTGAAAATATGTTGCATTCTCATACATGAACATATGATTGACTGATCTATTCATGGTGCATTCAAAAATCCTATTCTCGGGTAGCATTTAATTGACCAATCAAAACAAAGGAGCAAAGATTTCTTGATTCTGATTGGTCAATTGAACACTACTTTACCCTGCGGATAAGATTTCTGAACGCACTCTTACGGCAGAAGTAATTTGTAGCGCCGCTTGTGGTAGATATATGCATTAACTACCGCGCTTTCGTATTGCAAATGGCGGTTCGAAACAAGTAACGCGTCGCAAGTGTGTGTGCAGATTGAGAATAAATTCAGAAAATTCTGCTTTAAAACGAGTTTTGGTAAGTCACTTTTGTATGAGTTCTTTTCCTCTTTCATTATTTAAGAAATGGAGATACTAAATTGATTGTAAATCTCGAAATAAACCGCGAAAGATAGCGAATAAGGTAGCGGTCGGACGAAAGCTCAAAGTAACGGTCTCACGATCGGCGGAAACTTCACTTAGGCTGCGTTCGGAAACATCATCCGTGTGCACACGAGCATGCGTTCTATCTTTGTTCAACATTTAGTAAATAACAAAGCTAGAACAACGCTCGTGTGCACGGGTGATGTTTCCGAATGCAGCCATAAATGTTTGGGCTACGTTTTACTTTGGCAATCGTAACGTTTGTAGAATCATTCCATCCTTGTTGTTTACACAAGATAGATAATGCTCGCGAATATTGCAATTCCCAAGTGGAACGTAGCTTTACAAGATAAAAATTCTTCGCTCCTTTTCTGTCCTGATGAATTCAAACGATGCAAAACGTTATTATGTTGTGATATCAAGACGAGTATTAAACATTTACACTCTGTATAAGTCTAGGTACAATATAATATCCATATGTTATTTTGTGTGGTCGTTATCTAAACTGACAATGAGTAAAAAATATAAATACATT